GGTAACCTTCTCCGGCTCTATGAGGTGAGCCCAACCAACCTGGTTTTTTCTGCCTTTCTGCCTGTTGACTCACCAAATATGAGCCCGCCTGTCTCTTGGACCTGATCTGGCTGATCCTAAAATGCTAAATATGCATTGATTGATGGATTTGATTGATTGCATTTGTAGGAACTCTGGGCTTTGGTGATTGGTTGAAAGACCACCAGAATCTCAGAGCAATACCTTAGAACTAGGAAGGGGAAGAAGGCATCTCAAAAGAGGATCAAAGCCAACCATCTTCTTCTTGACCTCCAGAAAACTTCTAGTTGGACCTTCACTTGGTCATCGTGGTCCAAGAAATCACCACAAATTAAGCTCAGTTTTGATGGCTGGGACTCAGAGTCCTATAGCCGGGTTGAAGAGGACACCATAAAACATCTTCATCTTCTGTCTGCTTTGCTGACGGATCGGTCATGCATGAAAATAATCCAGCTGTGTTTGCTTTCCAGAAATACCCGGTGAAATATGGCGGTGGTAACTGTCCAAAAGATAATGGCCCCACTACCCCTGTTGTTTATGATGTTGGCGATGCCCAGAAGACTGCAGAGTTGTACTCTCCCAATGGGCGGTGTAAGCATCCTTGTCTTGGTTAGAGGGCTGCCCCACAATATGGGTGGTTGGACCTCCTGTGGCTCCTAGGCTGGGACATCCTCTTTTGAAGCTAGGATCCAGGAGGAAGGTAAAGGAAGGGACTCCTTTCCAAAACTGGTGGCCCATTTGAAATAGTTTAGAAAGCAGGTTGAGCAGGTTAGGTTAACAATGTATTTTTCTTACCTTGGGGGGCATTTTGTAGCCCCCAAAAATCCAGCTGCAAAGAAACAGCAATGGGAATGGGAATATTATGCAAACATGGCCACTTATAGGTGGGTGGACTTCAACTCCCAGAATTCCCCAGCCAAAATACTTAAAGATGGGTGGACTCAGAGGTGATATTCAGCAGGTTCTGACCAGTTCTGGAGAACTGGAAGTGGAAATTGTGAGTAGTTCAGAGAACCGGCAAATACCACCTCTGACTGGCCCCGCCTCCCCTCTATTCTCCGCCTCCCGAGTCCCAGCTGATTGGCTGGGTCTCCTTTGGTTTCCCTGCACAGGAGAACGGAGCTGGAAAGCAGGTTAGTGGGGAGGGAAGGGGGATTTTGCAGTATTGCAAATCCCTTGCCACACCCACCAAGACACGCCCACCAAGCCATGCCCACAGAACCAGTCATAAAATTTTTTGAATCCCACCACTGGCGTGGATTTCAGCTCACCAACATGATGTGGGGAATGCTGGGAGTTGAAGTCTCTGATTATCGATTGTCATCAACCAAGATTGTGAAAATAATTACAGATTGTTAGGGCTCCCAACTGCATTTAGTATCTCTCTTCCGTTTCTCAGCTGAATTTGTCGCTGGCTTCGTCCAGTTCCGGGTGTTTAATAATGAGAAGGCAGCACTGGCTCTCTGCTCTGGCGTTAAAGTCACCGGATGCAACTCAGAACATGTGAGTATCCCAGCCTTCCTGACAAATGCTGCGTCAACATCCCACTTGAGTATCCAAATAGTAGCCCAGGATCATTTTATTTCTGAAAACCTTACTGTTTATTGAATACGTGGCATGGTAACGGTGAAGTAAAACTAATTCTGAAATTCCCAGGCATGAGAACATAATATCGTGTTTCCCCAAAAATAAGACCCCTTTTTTTTTTGTCACCAAAAAAGGCACCAGGTCTTATTTTGGGGGGATGTCATCCACTGACTAGCCTTACTTGCACGCATCGCCCCCGGCCTCCTTTTCACTGCCAGAGGCCTTCAGAAACTTCTTCTTCTGTGGCTGGCAAGCCTTTCCTGCAGGACTCTGCAGCTGATAAGAGAGCTCTGGATCGATCCAGAGCTTTGTTATCTGCCACAGAGACCTCCAGGAAAGCCTTGCTAGCCTTGCCAGCTGCAGAAGAGATGGGCCGGCAAGGCAGGTGTCAGGGTGTGTGAGGCCTGGCTACAACTGTCCAAAGGTAAGTGGGAGGGCAGCTCTACCTCCACCCATCCCCACCCTAGCCTAATTTTTACCCGTGTACTCTGGAGTGGGTGGGATCTTAATTAGGGCTTATTTTGGGGGTAGGGCTTACATTGGGCGCACGTGTAAAAGTCAAACTAGGACTTACTTTCAGGGTAGGTCGTATTTTCGGGGAAACAATGGTTTTCCCAGCCAAACCCCCAGACTTACAAGTAACTCATGTAAATGAGTTTTCTTCATTATGGAAAACATCTGCCTTCTTCTTCACACCTGTTAATATGTCCTTTAAAAGCTTTCAGGATCCTCTCACCAGCTTTGTTTCTCTAACTAACCCATTCGTGATCAACACTTCCCCCCCTTACTCTAATGGCAAGATGAAACTAAAAGGCACATAGCTGCCATGTTTCTCACTCTTGACATACTGCTACAAACAGCCAGAAACGTCACCTCCCCATAGAAGCTGAATAATAAAATTAAATATATAAGCATATGCTAGGGATCTAACCAGCTGATCATGTGATCGCAGGGTGGGGGGTTAGACAGCTGTCATAACTTTGAATCTTGACCCTAAGTATCTTTTGAATGGGGGGGGTGTCCATCGTAACGTTGAAGAGTCACTAAGTAGCCGGTCATAAGTTGAGGATTATCTATAGATTCCCTTGAGCTGTGCTTTTCATTTGTAGAATTCAGTTTCACCTTTGATGGAGCGGGGGAATTGGGGGGTTCTATAATTTTGTACCCCACTTTCCATGTACACAGCACACTGTGGAATTTAATTGGTATATTAGAACATAAAATCATAGAGCTGGAAGGGACCTTGGAGGTCTTCTAGTCCCACCCCCTGCACAAGCAGGAGACCTTATACAGATAAGCCTCAACTTAAAACCATTTACTGACCATTCGAAGTTACCACAACACTGAAAAAAGTGACTTACAACTGTTTTTTCACACTTACAACTGTTGCAGCATCCCCATGGTCACGTGATCAAAATTCAGACACTTGGCAACTGACTCATACTTATGATGGTTGCAGTGTCCCGGGGTCACGTGTTTCCCTTTGGGGGCCTTCTGACCAAGCAAAGTGAACGGGGAAACCAGATTCACTTAGCAACCTTATTGCTAACTTCACAACTGACATGGTTCACTTGCAAAGCAGAGCCTCTATATATCAATGGAGACTGTGTGGAAAGAGTTCATAGTTTTAAGTTTCTAGGAACTCATATTTCCGACAACCTTACTTGGTCGGTTCACACTATGGCCACTGCAAAGAAGGCCCAACAGCACCTGCACTTTCTGAGGTTGCTGAAAAAGTGTGGTTTAGGTGAGAAGTTGCTGGTTACTTTTTACCGGTCTACCATCGAGAGTATTTTGGCATACTGTGTAACGGTGTGGTATGCTGGATGCTCTGCAGTGGAACGAGATGCTCTAGAGAGTTATAAACCCAGCACCAAAAATCATCGGTTGCTCTCTTTCTTCTTTGGAAGAGATTGCGAAGACCAGACTCCTCTCTAGACCACTAAAAATCTCCACAGACTGTTCTCATCCTGGACATTCATATTTCGAACTGTTACCATCAGGGAGGCGTTATAGATGTCTTAAAATGAGGACTAATAGACTGAGAAACACTTTCCTTTCCAAGGCAGTAATTATCTTGAATCAAACAGTGCATTTGTGATTTATTATTAATTTTATTATTGTTATTGTTATTATTATTGTTGTTGTTGTTGTTGTTGTTGTTGTTAAATACTCTGTAGTGTGATTGTGATGTGGTGTTTGGGGCACTGTGCTGGAGTAACTTTCAAATTTCATTGTATTTGTGGAATGCAATGACAATAAAGGTATTCTATTTTATTCTATTCTTAACAACTGTAGCAAGAAAGGTCATAAAAGGGGTCAGAACTCAACAAATTTCTCACTTAGCAACAGAAATGTTAGGTTCCGTTGTGATCATAACTCAAGGACTACCTGCAATGGGATCACACTCACCAAACTTAAAATCCAGGTCTTAAGTATCTTTCGGAGAGTCTGTTGTAACTTTGAACAGTTGCTAAGCAATCAAGTCAAGGACACGTATATCCTTTTGAGCTGTGCTTTTCCTTCCTAGAATTCAGGTTTGCCTTTGCTAGATATGAATGTGTGTTATAGTTTTACAGCCTGTCATGTATGCACACAGAACATACTTTGGCGTTTTAGAACACAGAATCCTAGGGCTAAAAGGGACCTTGGAGGCCATCTAGTTCAACTTGCTGCTCAAGCAGGAGAATCTATACAGATGGCTGTCCAATCTCTTCTAGAAAACCTTTCATTTTTTAGAGACTTTTGGAGGCACTAATTAGTTATTGTCACTCTCAGGAAATATGTAAATAAGAGAAACAAGAGTTAGAAAGTCAAATATTACAAGAGAAAGATTAATCCCACGATCAGGGTTGCTTATTGTAACTTATTAATTGTGATTAATTGTGATTAGTTTTACTAATTAATATGTATCAATGTTATGAGGGAAAAGCACTGTTTTCATGAAATTATCATTAGAGAAGACTATTACTATGTTTATGATGACTATTATTCCCAGAAATGTAACCAGGCAACACATTGTATATATGGATTTTGAACATGTTGCTCTTTCTTTTTATTTACATATTAATTATATGTATGTATGTATGTATGTATATGGAAATATGTAAGATGTTTAACTCCCTTTTTACCTTCCTTAGCACTGCGTTGGAGGAGGGGGCTTTTTCCCAGAAGAAACCCCCCGTCAATGTGGTGATTTTGCCGCCTTTGACTGGGATGGCTACGGGACTCACCGTGGATGGAGCACTTCAAAAACCATGGTTGATGCCACTGTGCTGATCTTCTACCGCTGAACGGCCGAATCAAGCCGGATATGGAGGTGCCTGTCCCAGAACAGAGAAATTTATGATTAAAACACACAATCTGACAATGCTCTGCAACAAAAATAAAAGCAGCACATTAAAATTTGACCTCTGTTTTGTCTTTCTTTTTCCCCAAAATAAACCTTGGCATTAAGGTTTACAAATGCGAAGATAAGGAAACAATACAAAGCAAGAAAGATATAAAAAGAAAAAAAAATGCAAAATTTAGAAATCAAGGGATGGAGATAGGAGAGGAAAGATATAAACTACAAGTGTTTGCAGATGATTTGGTATTTATTGTAGAAGACAATTCTGAAATTGTTAAAAGAGACAGAGGAGTTTGGAGAGATACCAGGACTGAAAATAAATAGAGAAAAAACTAAAGTTATAGTTAAAAACCTTACACAAAAACAAAAAGAAAATCTGGCAGAAAAAAGTGAATTTTCAAATAGTTAAGAAAGTTAAATATTTGGAAATATACTTATTCCCAAACAATAAAAGCTACTTATATAAAGCTACTTAAACAAATAAAATTAGATTTAGAAAAATGGAAAAACCTACATGTATCAATGTTAGGAAGGATTGCTACGATAAAAATGAATATTTTACTAAAATTGGTCTTCCTGTTCCAAATAAAAATTGAAAATAAATTCTTTGATGATCTGAACAAATTGATGCTTAAATTTATTTGGCAAGGGAAAAAAGCAAGCATAAAATTGAAAATGTTACAAGAATCTAAAGAAAATGGAGGGTTTGGACTACCAGATTGGTTTTTATATTACCAAGCATGTTCTTTTCACATGGTTAAAAGAATGGATAATCCTTAGACACAAGAGACTGTTATACTTAGAAGGACATGATTTGAGGGGCTGCCCCAGAGAGGGGGCGGGGGGGGGTCAAGCTATTTTCCAAAGCCTCCGAAGGCCAGACAAGGAATAACGGATGGAAACTGATCAAGGAGAGATTCAACCTGGAAATAAGGGGAAATTTTCTGACAGGGAGAGCAATAAACCAGGGGAACAGAAGTTGCCTTCAGAAGTTGTGGGAGCTTCATCACTTGAGACTTTCAAGAAGAGATTGGACCGCCATTAGTCAGAAATGGTGTAGGGTCTCCTGCTTAGGCAGGGGGTTGGACTAGATGACTTACAAGATCCCTTCCAACTCTGTTAATCTATAATCTACAATCAGAATGGCATGCCTTTCTATGGTATTAGAAACATAAAGTTTAGAGATACGTTCAAAATCACTATATAAGAAACTCACTAATATCGATATGGAAAAAAATAAAACCTAAAATATACTTGAAAATTCCAGAATCTGGAGACCGAGGCACCTGTCTCAGAGCAGAGAAATTTAGTGTTAAAACATACAATCTGACAACGCTATGCAATAAAAATATAACAGCACATTGAATTTTGGCTTCTGTTTTGTCTTTCTTTTTTCAAAATAATCCTTGGCATTAAGGTTTACAAATGTGAAGGCAAGAAAACAATACAAAGCAAGAAAACTATAAAAAAAAAAATGCAGAGACAAAGGAAAACAATAAGGAAAATAGAAAAGAGATATATAAAGAAATCATAACGTCAAAATTGCCAGAAGTACCACTATCTTAAACATTTCTATAATAACACAATTGAAAAACTAATATCGAAACAGCAAAAGAAACAGAAATAATTATTTTATCCTTTCTACCAAGTCAGCTAGCCTTTTTCTGATTAACATTTTTGATTAAATGACCTGAGTCAGAAAGTCAGAAAAATCAAGAAATACAGTACATATTTTCTTTCACAGATTTTCTCCCTTTCCCTTTTTCAGGTTTGTTCCTTTTTTTCTACATTTTTCTTAGTTTGCGTTATTTTGCTGTTTTTGTATTCTTAAAGTTTCAATAAAAACATTACCATTTAAAAATAAGAAGGTGAGAAAAAATCTATTTCGGATGACTAGCAGGGAAAACACCTGCCTTCCTGGTGGGCTGAGCTGGATGCTTATTTATAAAAATAATAAAGGTGGGATATAAATAAAAAGATAAATAAATTAATTAGGCATTCCAGCTTCTAAAGATTAGTCCTTGCAAAGAGTCAAGATTAATTTTTTTCTAGTGCTCAGGTCAGAATGCCAGGGTGAAGTACTAACAATCGCCACAAGAGGACAGTATTTATCCATAAAACTATGATCATATCCCACAGAAAAGATTTGTCATTCAGATACTAAAGATTATTTGCTTAGCCTTAGCGTGTCATCCCATGTCACAGCAAATATAGGATTTTCTGGAGAAAAAAAACACTCATAATTCTGTGTGACTGATTGTTCTGAGTTGTTTATGGGCATAGAGAGTGGATTTTGAGTTTGCAGGCAGACAGTGGTTTGCTCTGACTTACTGTGGCACAGATTGTAGTCTCCAATCCCCAGAATTCCCTAGGCTGGCTGGGAATTCTGGGAGTTGAATGGTACCCACAAAGGGGCCAAGGCCAAAAAACAAAAAGCTGAACTTTGGTGAGAAGATCTCTGGTTAAATCAAAGGCAAAAGTGAAATTGAACCCAAAAATGTCTGGCTTCACAACTGAGGACTTTAGATGTACAACTTTATACACTCTCAGTCAGATCATGTGAGATAAGTTGTCATATCAATTATTTAAATACCTACATTATTGTTTTTCAACCTTGTCAACTTCCAAATGGCTTGGCGTTCAACTCCCAGAATTTCCCAGCCAACCAAGGGAATTCTGGGAATTGAAATCTACCCAACTTTTTTAGAATAGAATAGAGCTGGGAGGGACCTTGGGGGTCTTCTAGTCCAGCCCCCTATATGATTTCAGACAGTCTAGTGGCTAGTCTCTTCTTAAAAACATCCAGTGTTGGAGCTCTCACAGCTTCTGGTGGCAAGTTGTTCCACTGGTTAGTTGTCCTCATTGTCAGGAAGTTTCTCCTCTATTCCAGGTTGCTTCTCTCCTTGATTAGTTTCCATCCATTGCTTCTTGTCTTGCCTTCTTTGGTGCTCTGGAGAATAATTTGACCCCCTTTTCTTTGTGACTCTTAAAGTGTCCAAAGGTAAAAGAAAACAATCATGGTGGTCTCCTTCTTTCCTTTCTTTGGTTGTTTCTTAGCACAGGGGAAAGAGCATTATTTTTTGCCTTCGTTCTAAGGACGTCCAACTTTGGTGCGGTGGCAGGCAAAAAAGCCAAGGCAATCCTAATCTGCATTAACAGAGGGATACAATCAAGATCAAGGGAAGTACTAATACCACTCTATAAAGCCTTAGTAAGACACACCTAGAGTACTGCATCCAGTTTTGATTACCATACAATAAAAAAGAAGTTGAGACTCTAGAAAAAGTGCAGAGAAGAGCAACCAGGATGATGAGGGGACTGGAGGCTAAAACATATGACAAACTGTTGCAGGAACTGGGCCTGGCTAGTCTAGTGAAGAGAAGGACCAGGGGAGACAGGAGAGCAGCCTTCCAGTATTTGAGGGGCTGCCACAGAGAGGAGGAAGGGGGTCAAGCTATTCTCCAAGGCACCTGAAGGCCAGACAAGAAATAATGGGTGGAAACTGATCAAGGAGAGATTCAACCTGGAAATAAGGAGGAATTTTCTGACAGGGAGAACAATCAACCAGGGGAACAGAAGTTGCCTTCAGAAGTTGTGGGA